AGACAACCTACATTTCAACAATAGTCATATCACCAACCTTCATATCAATAGCAGCAACAACATTATCCTTTAGTGCTTGACAAAATAAGTAAATTGGATGATACTTTAGAAAAATTCATGCAAGACACTATGGCTAATCGTGAGGAAAAATCATGCTGAAGGCTTCATTCGAAATATAGAGACCCGAGATAGGTCAATTGGCTAAGCAATTATCTCGAGCAGCGACAAGGAGGACAATTTTCAGCTAACACACAAACCAACCCCAGGGAGCAATGCAATTCAATAACTACAAGGAGTGGTAAGGTTATAGGAGAAGGGATTGGTGACAACCTGGTCAGTAGAGAAGGAAATCCTACAAGAAAAAGAGGATGAAAAGAAGAAAGATGAGTGTGAAGGAGAAAAAGAGAAAAATAAAAGTGAGAGTATAGAAAAAGAAAAAAATACTCAAAAAGAAAAGAAAAATAAAAAGAGTGAGAAAAAGAGGGAGAAAGATGATAGTCAAATACCGCAATTAAAGGATTTACCATATCCTCGTCATCATTCCAAGATAGATAAAGAAAGACAGTTTGCAAAATTCATGGATATTTTCAAGCATTTATGAATTAATATCCCACTTATGGAAGCTATGGAGCGAGATGCTCGACTTATGCAAAATTCATGAAAGAGTTGTTAACTAAGAAAAGGAGATTTACTGCGAAACGAGTGGAGCTAGAAGCGGGATGCGGCGCTATAATTCAGAAATCATTGCCTCAAAAGTCCAAGGATCCTGGTAGTTTCACTATACCAGTCACAATTGGGACATTACAAGTAAGTAAGACATTACTCGATTTGGGTGCTAGTATAAATCTAATGCCTTTGTCTATGCTTAAAAGAATAGGAGACTTGGAAGTAAAGCCTACAAGAATGACACTACAGCTAGCTGACAGATCTCTAAAGATTCCTTACGGAGTAGCAGAAGATGTTTTAGTTAGAGTGGATAAATTCATATTTCCTGTTGATTTTGTGATTATGGACATGGAGGAAAATGAGGAAGTCCCATTGATCCTGGGAAGGCCATTTATGAAGACTGCCAAAGTAATTATAGATGTTGACATGGGCAAGTTGAAAATTAGAAGTGGAGATGATGAAGTTAATTTCAATATGTTTAAATCTATACAACAACCGGAAGACAAGAAAGATTGCCTCAGAATAGATACTTTGGAGGAATTACCCATCTCAACTGAAAAACAAGATTACAAGCCTGTTGCACAACCCCAAAGACATCTTAGTCTGACTATGAAGGAAGTTATTCAAAGAGAGGTACTGAAACCTCCTGAAGCAGGTATGATTTATCCAATCTCTGACAGTCGTAAGGTTATTCGCAATGAAAAGAATAAATTCATTCCCACAAGGACAGTCAAGGGATGGAGAATGCGTATATATCACCTTGATCACTCACCTGCATGAGCCCTAAAGCAAATAGGCGTCGAGCTGAAGACGTTAAACAAGCGCTCCTGGGAGGCAACCCAATGTTTTGAATTTGTTTTTTTTTTTCTTTTTGCAGTTTAAGTTGTTTGTGCAATTTTTCTTCCTTAGGTTCTTTCTTTGCAAGATTGCTCCAGGTACACAGTGAACTTCTCCTCAAGACTTTGAAGTCTTACTTCAATGGCACTGGGGATAGTCCAACTTTTCCGGAGGGGGTGAGAAAGTCTGCAGTGAGAGTTGAGGCACAAGATAAGGAAGAGATGACAAGTGAAGAAAATGAGGGAGGAAACTTAATTTGTTTTTAATGTTTTTAATTCCTTTGTTTTTAATTTAATGTTTTTAATTGCTTTATTTTAAATTTTGAATTCCCTTGTTGTCCCATAATTTGTTTTAGAGCCATATATGAGATTATTGCTTATTGTCTAATTCAAATCTAGAACGTGAAAAATCATTTTGATTGTTTCCAATAACAAGTGATTTTGGGATTGTGAGTATGATAGTGAAAAGGAATTGATGAGGAGAATTAGGAATTAAGCTGAATTGGAGAAGCTAGCCAAAACTCAGGTGAGTAGAGTACCAAAAACAGATAAATTGAGTGTCAACATTTTGTGATTGATAAGCTGATATTGGTTGATTCTTTGATGTGATTACATGTTGGCAAGACTTGAAAATGATAAAGGCATTTTTTCTTTGTAGTAGATTTAAACCAGAGCCAAATAGTCAACCTTGCATTAATTTTAGGACATCCATTTGAACCCCTTCCGAGCCAAAAATAATATTGTTTCTTAATCAGAACCCTTAAGCCTAAACACTATTTATCTACCTTCCTATATTTGAGAAAGGAAATGAGTATGAATGTCACTATATTTTCTTATTGTTGGGTATTGCTATTGTTGTCCTACGGGTATTATTGGAGGATTGATATTGTTAAAAAAAAAGAAAAAGGTGTAAAGGAAAAGGAAAAGCAAAGCTTAAAAATTGGCAAAACCAAAAAGAATACATGCAAAAGCATGAGAAAAAAATATAGAAAAATAGTTCAAGGGGGAATAATAACTTGTGAGATCATTAACTCATTGTCATTGTGTTAGGGACAAAAGCATGAAGTTTGAAACCTGACTTGAGGAATTGTTAATCAAGAATCATTCATATGAGTTGAATTTCTCAAATATTTTTTTGTATATCCCGGAAAAATCAATAATTATTTCTTAGTCCAACCCCATTATAAGCCTCAAAAGACCTTTTGATTTAAGTCTTGTTTAACAATTGTTGATTGCATGAAGATGATTATCAATATTGGATTGTCTAAATGAAGTGATTGAATAAGATAAACACTTACTCGTGAGAATTAGAGATGAGTATATATAACTCTATTTGAGAGATCATGCTTCTCCGAGGATAGTTGAGGACTAATTATTCTTTGTTGGTTTCTATAACTTGAATGCTTATATGTTCTATTTTCATTTGGAATTGTGAGCATCACTTTTGAAAATTTTTATGTTGTGGTTCTCGAAGAGAAAGTGATAATAGGCGATGGTTTTGTTTTGGAAAAATTACTTTGTTTGGGACAAGCAAGATTCTAGGTTAGGGGGAGTTGTTAAGTGGTAAAAAGTTGATATAATTATGCCTTAAATTGTTATGAAACCATTTAACTTATATTAATTCTAATATATTTTTCTCCCAATATAGGATGAATTCGAGAATACCTTGATACAAGAGTAAGGAGCATAATTGTCAGAGAAAAATTGAAAGAAAGAAGAATGCTTAAGCGAATGAATGATGCGAGGCCGACCCAAATTCTCTTATAAAAAGATAAGATGTGTTTTGAGAAGGAGGCGGTCTTGGAGAAGAAGAGGCACGACTACTGCTAGGGTTTTGTCCAATCTTCATCAATTCTTCACTTCTTCCATCAATTTGAGCATTGTAATGGCCAACATGAGTGACTAACTTCATTCTCTTAGGATTCGGTGCACTTCCTTTGAACTCTTTTGTATCATGGTGATATTTTAAGATATTAATCTATGTTTTGATGTTGTTATTCTTATCCTTTATGCTTTTGAATGATTTATTCTTGATTGTTTGAGGTATGATTGGAAAATATATCTTGAACCCTATATCACGGTAAGAATATTTGTTACGTTAATTGCGAGGAATGGAATGAATGTATCAATTGCTTAAACACCCTAAACCTAATGCTTTGGAAAATCTCTTAATTGTGTGAGGAATCAACATATATTAAGTTTTCTTATGAATTTTATGTATGAAAAATCAACATGGATGATTTGAGTAGGTGGCATCAACATTGTTATGTTAATTGACGTTCTTAATTGACATAGCCATTACAAAAGAGGGATAAGGAAGGAAGTCAATCCTAAGTGCCTTTAATTGATATTTTCTCAACAATTTAAAGTTTTTTGTCATTTAATTTCAATTCAACTCTTATTTGCAAAACTCAATCTGTTTTAATCTACTTAGTAAGCATAATTGGGAATTTTCATTGAAAATGATTCTCGTGGGATCGACTTTTATTTAATCGAAATACTTATACTACGATTGATAATTTTGATACGCTTTCGATAATTTAACAAAGTCTATAGATGTCGACCTCCGAGAACGAAGTGTGATTAATAATGAAAGCACAAAAGGTAGTAGAAGAGAGTTTACCGAAAGGTGTAAAATATCTGCGTTGTCTTAGCTTCAGAATTCTTTTCTTAGAATGAATGTAAAATTGTATTTTCAAATTTTGTAATTGTATTTTTTTATTTTTCATCAAAACTCATTTAAATCGGAAAATAACATCGAGAAAATAATCGTTGGTCATTAATACTTTCGTAAAGAAAAATCAAAATGTATTCAAAACACATTTATTCTTCAAAACAAATATATTTTTCAAATATGTATTGTCATAATCAATTATGTTACCAGGTATAATTAATTATGACGAGAAAAAAATTCATTTTTCCATTTTTGAAGCATAATAATTGATTATGATGATGAAAAATGTCGTGATCTGAAATTTTATCGTGACTTGTCTTTAGAAACTTATCGCATAATACCACTTCATTAACTTGTACCTTCATATCCAATATTTTAAAATTCTATCTAGTCTTTAGGAATCGCTTTTAAACTGCTTGAATCTTGAATGTTGTTGACTCAGATCAATCATCAAAATCATCTCTTGAAAATATAAAGACATATTTCACATTGTCATCATTCTCCACCTTATTACTTTCACCCATGATCATCCAAATTCAAAGTTACATCAACACTAGAACATATGAACAATATAAAGGTAGACCCACAATCCTTAACAATATTCCAAATAGATCAGATGCAACAAACAATTCTCAGTTTAATAACAAATAAGATTAGCAACGTTCAATTTAGATCCCAGACAAATGACATAAAAAATAATTAGAATCAAGATCCTAGAAAAAAAGACACAAAAACAATTAGAATCAACACAGGGAAAGAAGCCCCAACAAATGTTAGCCATCAAATAAAACATTCATGGTAAACCCATAAACAATCAGAACAACATGCATAAATGCCAACAAAAGAAAAAACTCTTTTACTCTACAGACGTTGGCGACCACCAGCTCAAGTTGTGTTGGGTATCAGAGAGGAAAAAAAATCTTCAACTACCGAAACACAAACAAAGATAAAGAAACAAACTGAATGTTGTTCAACATTTCTTGTTTACATCCACTAACACAGTTAATAATTCTTTATTTCTCGTATAATTTTTGCACAGAAAAATTACAAACTCTCTCTTTCAACGCATAACGACCCAAGTTCCCAGTACAGCAAAACTAGTGTTGTTCTGGTAAGTTAACATAAACTATCAACCTTTGGTTACAGTAGTAGTTTAACTACCACTCCACTTCTTCAAACTACACACGACGTGGGATTTGAAGGATTACCCACACACTTTGGGTTCAAGTTGGGACTCAAACTCGGGTAGGCACGACTCCGGTGTAAGGTGCTACAGTGATTGGAGTCGAGGCTAAGGACGTGGCTCACGGTGGTTGCTCGGAGGACTCGCAGTGGCAACGATTTTGGTGGCTTGGTGGAGCTGATAGAGGAGGCGAAGATGGTTGCAAAATAAGGTAGAGATGAGCACAAGCCACGAAGGCTCACGGCCAGTGCAGGGAAGCATGCAATTGGTACTGGGACTTGGGTTGTAATGAGGGTGGTGGTTTGCGATTTAGGGAGAGCAACTAAGATTGGGGCACAATGGCTTGATCAGGTGGCTCGCTGCGTGAATTTAGGGTTTCGATTGGGGTAAAGTGAGGTTGGATTCTTAAGGTGGAGAGATTTGGGGCTGGTGATGCATAACTAGGGTTAGTGAATTTGGTGGCTTTGTGGAGCTGATGGAGGCGCGGAGGAGGGCGATGGTGGTCGTGGGTCAGGCTGGTGGAGGTGTGGTGGTCGGTGGTTTAGGTCGCGAGGTAGAGAAAGAGAGGGGGTGAGGGAAAGGGTGACTGTGTAGTGGCTATTATAGGTTTTTGGGGGTGGTTGGCAAGAGGTGGTTCTAGCCGCTGGATTGTGAGACTGAGAGACCGTGAAGCTGAAATTGAGAGGTAGGGGTTGAGTGAGTTGGGACTACACAACTTAAGTGGAGAGTTGAGGAAGAAAGGGTTGGGGTTGTCGTGGAGTAAGGTGAAGGAAAGGAAAAAATATTTTTCTCTTAATTAAAGCAACTTACAGATAAACAATAAATACATTAGCGACGGACACACTTACTGATAAGATAAAAAATTTCTTACTTACCCACAAACATTTCCTATGGAAGTTAAGGAATTGTTAATTTATTGACAAATAAATCCGTCAAGTAAAAATTTCTTCCACAATAAATATTCATGCATATATTCCGTTGTAAAAGTTTATTTCAATCAATTTCTATCCAAAAATATTTTATAGATAATTAACAATTTTCTTATAATGTAAACATTTTTTTCTAATAATTTCATCTACCACTCATTTTCTTCCCTCTAAAATAAGGTTACATGTTCCTTTTCCAAAATAAAGGGTGACTCTAGTAAAAAGACAAAATATACAAAGATTGGGTAGGTAAGGTAAACTTATTGGCAAACACATGTGTATAGGCAAAACGTCTTATTAATAAGGTCCCCCTCCAACAATTATTCACAACCATTTTTCAACGAACAACTAGCTTCAATAAAAAAAATTATTTTTATTTATTTTTTATCCATTCATTATATTATAATAATATACAATTTTTTTTTATGTTTCAAAGTGGTTGCCACTCTTTAAAATTAGATATCGATTAATTTTTGGCGGATCATAACATAAACTCCGTAGACAATTGGTAAACACTTCTTCGTTATTTTTATGTTTTTCTATTTATCACATCTCTAATAAACTTATTATTAGTGTTTCTATTTACGTAGAGGATAGTAATGTGTGTTCATCAAGTATTTTTCTTAATTTTTCTATTCTTGTTCATGACATTTTCCTTCATTGATACCCTAATTTAGTCTTGGATATTGCCATATGTGTAAATAATTTTCAGATCAATAAGACATTAGCACCATAGTAGAGTGGTGGAGATGGGAGAACAGCTAAAGGAGAAGCTTTTGCATCAGCCAAACAACAACTATTTGGAAGAAGAAGAAGAAGAGTCACTGTGGAAAAGGGTAAGGGAAGAAAGCAAGAAGATATGGGTGGTAGCAGGCCCAGCCATACTCTCAAGGGTTTCGACCTTTGGGATTCTGGTGATTGGTCAATCCTTCGTTGGCTATATTGGCTCAACTGAACTTGCTGCTTTTGCCCTTGTTGTGACTGTCCTAGTCAGGTTTGCAAATGGGGTATTGGTAAGTGTTTTTTTTTCTCTTCACCTTGTTCTCTTTAGCTAGGTATCTTTCATGTGAAGTCCAAGATTTTTCAATGGAAATTTGAAGGTTGGCATGGCAAGTGCGTTGGGAACTCTTTGTGGTCAAGCATATGGGGCCAGAAAGTATAACATGCTTGGAGTGTATCTTCAAAGATCATGGATAGTGTTGTTCATAGCCTCAATACTCCTTCTTCCTATTTTCATCTTCACCACTCCATTGTTAGAGGCTCTAGGCCAAGACAAAACCATTGCTCAAGTTGCCGGAAACATTTCTCTCTGGGCAATTGGTATCATATTTTCTTTCGCAGTTACATTCACCTGCCAAATGTTCCTGCAATCACAGAGCAAGAACAAGATCCTTGTCTACCTTGCAGCAGTTTCAATTCCAGTCTACGTTTTTCTGTCATGGCTTTTATCTGTTCAGTTCAATTTTGGTCTCAACGGTGCACTGACATCAATACTTTTGGCAAATTGGATTCCAATCATTGGCCAGCTTGTGTTTATCATGACCAAGTGCCCTGACACATGGAAAGGTTTCTCATTCTTGGCCTTCAAAGATCTATGGTCTGTTATCAAGCTTTCCCTCTCTTCTGGAGTTATGTTATGGTAAGATTTTAACCAATTTCCATCATCAATTTTTTTTAATATGTACAACTTGGTATGTCACGTCCAGGTTTTATTGCTAAACCAGGATATCATCTTTTCTCTACTCAGTAACAAAATTATTGGAGAAACCAAATATCAATTAATAATTATTTTGTTTTGGTTAAAAAGGTCAAAGTGCTAGAAAACTAAGTTTTGGTTGCCGTTATTCTTGAATGGTGCTACCTTTGCGTTGCAGAAAAAACACAAAAAGACAATAATCATTGTATGATGAAAGACATAAAGCACTAACATAAAGCTATGGTTCCATTTACAGTCTTGAGATCTGGTACAACACAGTTCCGATTCTTCTTACCGGTAACACGGAAAATGCAGAAGTGTCCATTGATGCTCTGTCCATATGGTAATTGTACTTTCTCCTTATTTTTGCTTTTAGTTTTCGTACTAAAACTAATATATCACTTTTTCCAGCCTCAACATCAGTGGATGGATAATGATGGTAGCCCTTGGTTTCTTTGCTGCTGCAAGGTAACTTCTTTTTCAAAATCTCATTTTTCATTAAAATATGTCTGAACACAAAAATAAAAAGGAACGAAATTTTGCGGTGTTGTATAAATGCAAGCCATACACTATTTTTTCTTTATAATAAATAAGTTAAAAGGAATGGACATAGTCATACAATTTTTTAGGCCTAACATCAATTTTTCTTTTTTACCGTTTCTATTATCTTTAGTTCCATTTTCTGATTTTTTTTAAATTTTAGTTTTTAAATATACGTTCATCAGAATGATAATTAAAATTATTTTTTTACTTAACTTCAGAATATTTTATATCCATTTTTAAAACCAATAGCATTTTTATAAATTTTAGATTTTAAAAATAATATAATATTATTATATTTAATAATAATAATTTTCATTTTCAAAATCTTATTAATATGCTAACGAGAAAATAATGATTAAAAAATTATAAAGTATATAAATAAAAATCATTACTACCCCATATATAAGAGATGAGAGAAAAATATTTAAACTTCTACAACAACGTACTCTAATTTGTTTATATGATGTAAAACAATTTCCAGGACCTTTATGACAACTTATTTAAAAATTTGTTTTGTATTATTTTTTAAATAACGAGGCATGGTAACCGGGACGGAGCGGGGTGGGTTTTGCCTCCTCGACCCCGCTCCTGACTTTTTAATCGTCCTCATCCTCGTCCTCGTTGGATTTCGAGTTTCTTCGTCCCGCTCCGTTCTATGGTATTATTTTAAAAGTAATTATATATAAATTATAATAAAATAATTTAAAATTATTATCTTTTACATTTTATTTTTTATAACAAATAAATATAATATTATAACTTTTATAATATTATTATTGATTGAGTGTATATTTTAATTTATTACGTTTATATTAAAATATTTATGCATAAAAAATTATATTTGATCATTCTTTTTTTCTTCTTATTATAAGTTGTTAATCCTTTAAAATTATTAATCCTTGTAAAAAATATATAATAAAAATAAGTTTCAACTAATGATCCTTTTAAAATAATTATGAAATTAATACATCTAAAAATACTAATAAATAAGTAAACAAAGTTTCTCATGGAAAATAATATAAGAAAACTGCATAATAATGCATAACCGTGCATAATAATACATATAAGAAAAATAACAAATATTAGATAATTTAATGATCATCCTCCAAATGATTAATAATGTCACTGTCCATCAATTCACCTACATAATTTAAAATAAAATATATTATTGAAAAGAGAAATAAAATATTAAAAAATAAATAATAATACTTTTTTAATAAATTAAATAATACCTTCATCACCAGAATCCATCTCATTGAGTAAAATAGCATAGTCATCAATTAGTTAAGAATTCACACTACCTAAAGATAAAATATAAAGAGAATACTTATTAAAATCTAAAAATACAATCATTAAATATATATTTAAAAAGGTATATAAAACATTACCGTTGTTTTCAACACTCCATAACCAACTCCTAGCACACATCAAAGCCTCTAGAGTAGTCCAATGAAGTCTACTGCGATGGGGACTTAATATTTGATCATTAATACTAAATGCAGATTCAGAAGCTACAGTGAAGATAAGAATAACTAATATATCTTTAGCAATTGCTTGAATTATTGGGTATTTGACTCCATTCAACTTCCATAACACACAAGTTTATATATTTAACTTTTTTTATACATGTCCGTGAGCTAAATATTTAAAAGGTAAATTATTATTTTAAATATATAAAAGAATAATAATAATAATAATAATAATAGAACATTTATATTTGTATAAAATAAGTTGATCTTTTATGCATAAAGTGAAATTCTTTTTAATCAAACAAAATTTTATAAAAACATTAGTCTAATTTATTTGCTACAAATAGTTAGGTATAACTTGACGTAGGTTAAACAAAAGTTCCGGCAAAGAATTTTGGCCTATTTTTGCCGGAAATAAATATGCGTTAATAAGAATTATTTAAATTATAAATCATAAATAATTTATGTTTGACTTTTATGATAGTTAATTATGAAAATTAATAAACTTATAGTTTATAATGACTTATTATAGAATGAAAATGTAAAAAAAGTGTTAGACTGTTTGTTACATGATTTATTTTATTAACTTTATTTTTCTATCTATCTATTTGTAACCCTTCATATAATTTTTTTAACAATATGTTTTTAATTCCTATAAAATGAAAAAAAATTTGTTTTATGTATTTATAATTATTTTTTTCGTTCTATAAAATTTAAAATTTGAAATCCATGTAAAATATTTTTTTTTTAGTTTTTACCCCTTTAAATTTTGAAATTATTGGTCTTTAATATCCATTTTAAGATAGATAAATAATACATATTTTACAGATGTTAACAGTTTTTTACAGATATTAAAAGTTTTTGAAAACATTATACACTGACATTATATCACAGTACTATTTTTCGAATGATTAGTTCACCGTATGCTCAACTACCACATAATATATATTAGAGATAAAAGCAACCATTTTTAATTTTTAGAAGGATTAAAAATAAAAAAATTAACGAAATCAAAACACGTTTATATATTTTACATAGATTTAAAAAACATTGAAGATTATTTCTTTTACATGAAACATTTAAGTTTAGATCTTTATAATACTAACATTTGTCAATATCTTTGATCCATTCCACCAAAATTTCAAACTTGGTGGGTTCAAGGATGGATGGACATGAACGTGTTCCTAAACAAATTTTACATATTAAATTAAAATAAAAACAATTATAATTTAAAATATTACTTTTTTTTATGTCGTTGAAATGTGTAAATAAAACAAACTTTAAGTACCGAGTTTCTTTAAATTAAAAAATAGAATAAGAACATGCTTAGAGAAGATTAATTTTAAATATTTTATTAGATTTTAGAATAAAGAATATCATTTATTAATTATTTCAGTTAAAATGTTTGAGAGAGTAAGTGAAATATATAAAAAACAATTTGAAAAAAGTTGATTTTGTAAATTGAAAAAAGTATAATTGACGAATATCTTAAACCACAGCAAGTTGTATAATTTGTAAAAAAAAAAAAAAAAAAAAAAAAAAAAAAAAGTGGATTTTGTAACTTGTATCTGAAACACACTCTAAGTTAGAGTCTACATATTTTTTACAGTGTCCGGGTTGCAAACGAGCTTGGAAGAGGGAGTTCAAAGGCTGCAAAGTTTTCCAGTCTGATAACAGTTCTCACATCATTTGGCATTGGATTCGTGCTGTTCTTCGTGTTCCTTTTTCTGAGGGAAAGACTTGCTTACGTTTTCACTGCAGACTCTGCGGTGGTTAAAGAAGTTGGTGATTTATCACCATTGCTCTCATTTTCCATCTTGTTGAACAGTGTCCAACCTGTGCTATGTGGTATTCTATTCTTATTATCACTTGTGCCCTTTTCTTTTTCTACATTCTTATATTTTAGTTTTCCCAAGGATTAAGTGGATTTTTATGGCAGTTATTCACTGATAAATTTAATACTATGTTTAGATATTAAGACTAAAAAAATGGATTATTCTGGAGCAAAATGCATGGCCAAACAACTAGTAATGTTCCTATGTGTAGGAGTTTCTGTGGGAGCTGGGTGGCAAAGCATTGTAGCATATGTAAACATTGGCTGTTATTATGTGATTGGTGTTCCTGTTGGAGTGTTGCTTGGTAATCTTCTCCATTTGGAAGTCAAGGTAATTGATTCATCTTTTGCACAATCATGAAGAATAATCAATAATTAGTATATTTGCAATGAAATATTAATACTTTTTTTATTTCGTATAAAACTTAATTTTAGGAAATGATTTCATATTGATTTTTTGTTTTAGGCTGTTCCATCCAAAACAAATTTCGCCTTCATATACGTTTTAAGTTTCCAATAAATATTAAAACTTTTATTTTAATTTTCTCCCAGGTAAATACATTATTGTCTGAAAATACTCAATAAACAAAGCATGTATTAAACCGTAAGAAAGAGAATAATAATGACATTCTAAGAAATTTATCTCTAAAATATTATTATCTTAAAATGATTTTTTTTCTTATTTATCCAACAAAATTTTAAAAATGTAAATAATAAAATGATAGTCTATGAAACTTAATTAAATCATTTCTGGATTGTAAATGCCTTCAGAGTTTACATATAATGTCTTTGACTAAGAGGAGATAAGTGTGGAAATCTATTTCGCATTTGTAGGGTATTTGGATTGGAATGGTGTTTGGAACACTTCTTCAAACCCTAATTCTTATTACGATCACATTGAAAACAGATTGGGAGAAACAGGTATGGATTTTCTGTTGGCTCTATAAAAATCGATTTTTCATGTGTCGCTGAATTAAGCTGTTTATATATGAATGTTACAGGTAGAGCTAGCTCGAAATCGTGTTAACAAATGGACAGTGGTGGACAACGAAGAGTCACACGAAAGACCAAGTATATCTAGCTAAATTGAATATTTAGCATTTTATATTTTGAGTTCTCTCCATCATTCTCTTTAGTCAAAATTGAAACCATATTTTTATTTATTTGCTTGGGACGTTAATTCTTCTTCTTGCAAACTGATGGGTATTGTACGTACTCCATTCAAAATTATTGGATGAATTAATTGTGTTTATCGGCCTAAATCTATTAAAAACATTATATTTATTCATTTTTGTTATTAATCATCTTTATTTTATTATAATATCTTATAATTAGTTTTTTTTTTATGGTTTATAAGTTATTATCTATTAGTTCATTGTTATTTTTTAAATACTATATAAAGGCATATAATTAGAGAGTAAATCTTATTTCATACCTCATTCTTATATATATATATATATATATATATATATATATATATATATATATATATATATATATATATATATTTCAGCGTGGATCTTCTTGGGAGCTTAGGAGGTTGTGACCCCCAAAAGTTTTGTAACTCCCATATAATTTATGATTTTGGCCCCCCAAAATTAATGAACATTTAATATATTTACATGTATATTTACAATTCTATCTTCTCAGTCCCTCCTAACTCATATAATTTATGATTTGTCTCCTCAAACTTAATGATCATTTAATATATTTAAGTATATATCTACAATTTTATCATTTCACCTTTTCATCTTCTTTCTTCCTTTTATATTTATTTATTATTTATTAATAATATATTATTTGACCCCTTCAAGATCAATGGTCAAGATCCGCCATCGATATCTTTTATCTAAAAGTTGACTTGAGTATTGAAGTATCTTATACAAGGCGGACCTCTACGTTTTTCGGATATCATCTTCAAAGTTGGTTTGAAGATGACTTTATCTTACCGTCTTGTTAATTACCTTCATCTTGTGAAGAACAAGTATATTTGGTTATATTTTTATGAATTGGTTATTCTAATTATTTAATATTCTCATTATGTATGAAATATTCTTTCCTCCTTTAAGAGGATTGGTAGGAAATTTATTTATTGTAATTTATATATATATATATATATATATATATATATATATATATATATATATATACTAAGAAATGCATTTATAATAGGTTTGATGTAACAAGACAAATAACAGGTAAACAAATTATAGATTATTGACATGGTCATTTAAATCATATAACACTAAACTTAAAATTTCTTTAAGTTATAAAATGACTCGTAGAAACTTGATATGGATAATAAGTTGTAGCAACTAAAAAGAAGGGTTATGTGTTATATATGTAAATTAATTTGTACTACATTTTTAATTTATTCCAGAAAATTATTCTATAGGATCTTTAGGTTTATAATTCTCACACAATAACATATATGAGAGAGATCTAATGAGAATGCATTATTCAATCTCTTCGTTTTCTAACCTCCTTTTTTCAATCTATGTCTTTGTCTTTCTTTCTTTTCTCACACTTTTATTAACTAGTGTCCATCAATTTGGTTACTATAAGTTTTTATTTTATTTTATCTTTATTTTTATTATGGCTTTCCATAATAACCAATTGATCCTTATATTTTATTAAATCACATTTGAATGCATCATTATATTTCACACAAGTCACATAATAAAATTAATGTATTAATTAATTCTAACATTTTTCTACTTGACTTATGTGATGTCATACTATTCTGTGATTTAAAACTTAAATTATAATGCGCATTAAAGAACCTTATATAAATTGATTCTATAATTATTCATAATTAAATATACAACAACAAGAGCCAAAGCGGTTTCATGTCATTCATGCTCTCTTTCATGTACTATTGTATTATCTTTTTCTCTTTAATATGACTTTACAATAAGTCCATAATGATTCAAACATAATGTTATATTCAATAACAATAACATAATTTATTTTCTTCATCATAATTTGCATGCATATAAATAAAGAAGAAATACAAATTTTAGAAACTTATACATTAAAGATTTTAGAGTGTCACATACACATTAATAATAACATTAATATTTAATATTCACTAGTAAATATAATGTTCATATTCTCTATATGGCAAACAAACAATTTCGGCGGTGTAGACCCCAAATCTTGCCCGACCTCCAAATAAAGAGCAGAAGACCTCCTATTTGAAGATGGACAAGCCTAACAAGCCATTAGGAGAGACTATTAGGCCTCATACTAGGATAGGAGGGAGTTTCTGTACCAAAAAATAAGTTTTCTCGCTTCGAAGGGACGAGACCGCCTTCTGGACAACCTAGACCACCGTCTCGCCTCGCGTAGGAGGCGAGACCGCCGTCTCGCTTAACGAGACGACGGTCTCGCCACCTACGAAGGACGAGACGGTGGTCTCGTTCACCCAAACGACGGTCTCGCCATTTTGACAGGACGAGACGGCGGTCTCGTTGGACGAGACCGGCGGTCTCGCCACCTGACAGCGCGAAAACCTATAAATAGGGGCTCTCCCCCCCTCATTTGGACACACCCAGCAGCAAGAGCTCTCCCTTCTCTCTAGAATTTCTCTCTCTAAGAATCCTTCCGAGGCATTTTCGGAGTTTCTGAGTGTCTCTAGGCATACACAGAGTGTTCTAAATCTTCTTTAGAACCCCTCCGAGGCATTTCCGGAGTTTCTGAGAGTTGTAGAGTGAAGGGTTGCCAAAACGCACCCTCTCTTTTTAATATATAAAGCTTGCTTTGGAGGTACATATCCTCACTCTCTACTTTTTTTACTGCTATTTAAATTACGCAATAGAAGCTAGGGCCATGTAGTCATATATCTAAATTCCGCATAATAAAAAGGGTAAAAGCGCAATTTTCCAAGTTTAATTATTCACAAATAGCCGGCCTATCATAGGGAACCCGAAAGGGGCGTCGTAAAGGGACTAATACTCCCTTTACACGTAACTAACTCCCTTACCCAACTCTGGTTCTAATGACCAAAGTTGGTTTTCGAAAACCAACGCCTTTTTAAAACCCCTTTTCCGATGTTTACGGTAAAAATATCGGTGGCGACTCCATAGAACCCAAAATAAATAAGTCCTTGGGTTAGCCCGGTTATCGGACAACCCAAGGACACTTTTGAAAACCTCGCCCCTGGGTTAGCCCGGTTATTGGACAACCTAAAGGCGTTGTAACCACCAATAAAAACGCGAAAATCAAAGAAGAGTCGAAAAACCATCGCGTCGCTCCGACCGCCCTCTCTTTGGGAGGCGGCGACAGATGGCGACTTCACTAGGGAAGCCTAGAGAGTTAATCCCATTTAGTGATGGGCCGGCTTAAACAATAAATAAACCAAGAAAATAACACTTTTGCCCTTAACTTGTATTTATAACATGTTTTATTGCTTGGCTTTAATAACTGTTGCTTGTTTATACTTGCAAATTGCTTGAAATATAAACTGCACACAATCCCTTGCACACAACAGTTCCCCCTATACCCGGGGGCAAGTGAGATAACCATAGGGAGTGGGTGGCAGGTACGGTTCGCTGCAGTTAGGGCCTTGTGCCCACCAGTGTGATCGGAAACCACCACTCAAGGTGATAACCTTCCTCTTTTGGCAACAAGATCGACTCTGGCCTTAGTGCTGAGCATGGTTGGACGGCTGGAGAGTGGGGACCCTATAATGGGGGCACCTTGGGGGCCTTAGCCTGGTGAGAACAGTTAGAACCAACCCTTGCCAAAGCACTTTTCTGCAAGAAAACCCTACCTCGTGATAAAAACGAAGTCTCACCTGTTCGGGGATGGTCGAATTGTGTGTGCATATGATTGTTGCATTTGTATGTTGCATAGCATAAACAAACAACAGAACAAAAATCACGAAAAATATATTTTTCAAATAAACACCCTTATCTCGGACAGTCTGCCTTTTAGCTAGCCTGGTTTCAGGTTCTTTGCAAGCTAAGTAGCCACGCAGTTCCGACAGAAGAGATAAGGGACGATAAATATTCTTTCACATAAAGCCATATTTTATCTCGGACGATGCTCGCCTTTTAGCTAGCCTGGTTTCGGGTTCTTTGTAAGCTAAGTAGTCACGCAGTTCCGACAGAAGAGATAAAAGGCTATAAAATAAACAAATAAAAAATATAAAATAAAAATTCATTTTTCTCAAAATTCACAAAATAAGACCTGGTCCAAAAATATTGCATTCATAAAACATTCATATAGATAGTTTATTCTTCCAAAAAAATAAAATACATAAAAATACCATACATCATGTAGAAAAAAAAAACATGATAAAATAGCAAAATAAACACTCACATTCATACAATAAACATCATCTTCATCAAAACATACATTTTGGTTTTAGAAAATGGAGGGGACAAGTAGACAAGTGGGGAAGGTGGATATTCTCCGAAGCCATACTGAGAAGCTAGAACGGCTTAGTGCGACGATGCCACCGGAGGTCCGCGCTGACTTTGAAAAGTCCTATGGACGGATTTTGGACCTCCTGAAAATTAGTGTCGATCAAGTCTTCCTCAGGGTACTGATTCACTTTTGGAATTCCAGTCTGCGGTGCTTTGAATTTCCGCAGTTTGACATGGTGCCCACTTTAGAGGAGTATGAAACAATGTTGAAATGGCCCAAGTCAGCCGGGGTTCATATCCGCCACGAGGCGTATACTCCTGCAGCACCAGTCGCTGCCCTTATCCACCTACCGTACTGACAAAGTACCCTGATAGGAAGAGGGAACACCCAGGGATGGAGAGTATCGATGTTAGAAGATCACCTGTCCTACCTGGCTGAGAGGGCAGAGTGGGTTGCCTTCAACAAAACCCTGACACTATTAATCTTCGGAACAATCCTGTTCCCCTTCCACCTCGACACAGTTGATCAAGCCGTCTTGGACACTTTCTTCGCTTGGGACGTGAACTCGAAGAGTCCCCTGCCTGCTATTCTTGCCGACACCTTGCTCTCGGTGGATTTCTGCCATCAGAAGCAAGGGAGAACACTCCGCTGCTGCTCTTCGTTACTTTATGTGTGGAGCATCACGCACCTTTACGCCTCCAGTCACATGGGG